GCACCATCTTGCGCAGGAGGCCGCCTCTGCGTTGCTCGGGTCGCGGGACACCCTGAATAGCACGCGGCTCCCTCATGAGGGCGGGGTCTAGCTTGGTGGGAATCCGAGTGACGACGGTCCGGTACTCGCCCGGAAACTTGGCGTTGGGTACTGGCACCGAAGCAGTTCGCCACATGTGGTCAGAGGTGTCGCCCAGGTAAGTGGGGATCTTGAGCTTCGCAGGCGCAGCAAAACCCGAAGCGTTGCTCGATGCGCCATGTGACATGCGAATGGTCGACAGACGGGACAGTCCAGACGTCAGTGTGGGACGGCCTCTGGCCTTCTTGGCCATGATGATCTCGTCAAATAGACGAATGGACGCGTGGGTAGCAGAGTTAGTCTCACGCTCATGGATGAACTCGTTAAATGCTAAAAGGCCGTTAGTGACAAGCAACGCGAATTTGATGCCGAAACACATACCTTGGGTTTCCCGCAACATGGTAGCGTACGGTTGTTGGTCGTACGGGAGACTCTTGATGTAACCATCCATGTCAAAGGCGTAAAGCTGGCCGTTGCTCTTCTGTTCCCTGGAGGGGCGTCCGAGATGCTTTCTGTACGTGTACAGCAAGCTAGCGAGGCAACGTACAAAAGCTGCTCGGACGCGATCAGGATGGAACGCTTCGCTGCAGACGATCGAAACGTGTCCCAGACAGCGACTGTGGGCGAATCCACCGCAATGAGAGCACTTATAGATACCGTCACCCTCAGATCTTTCATCGCAGACAGTACAAGTGGACGATGAATCGTGGGCAATCCAGTTGAAGCAGTGACCTTCAACCCACATGGTCGTCTCAGTGTTCCTCACAGGCTGGATCAACATGTTGGGCATGATGGTGGAGGCCGCAATGGTGGACTGCGCGTAGGTCGAAGGAGCATATCCGCCGTACGACGACTGCGAGTCAACCGAGATGGCAGAGACTGACATGCTCGGGTTGTGTCCGTTCAGGAACGGCAGGCTTGGTCGGTGGAGAGGCGGATGCTTGTCCATGCCGAAAGACGAGCTGCGGCGGGACTTCTCGTCGAAATGGCCAGACTTCTTTTCTCTAAGGGTCTGAGCGAAGCCAGAGTCACTCCGAGAGACTGGGGTGGTCGGCATCGGTGGGAAGTTCATAGAAACCGGTGAAACCGATGACTGCGGACTGGTCTTACCGGACTTGCTCGTATCAGGGCGGTCGGACTTGCCGTGGTCACCCCTCGAATGCAAGAAAGCATTGAAGATGGGAGGGCGCACGGAGTTGGGCGGTTCCGGTTCGCCAAATGACGAGGAGTTCTGTGTAACCCACTTGCCAAGGGAGCTAGAGCTGACGCTTGAGTTGAAGAGCGTATCGTTCTCTGCAGAGAAGGCGTCGTAGGGGAATGACTCCATGGCATACGGCGGAGGACCAACGGTCACTCCATACCGAATGTGGTGGGGTGCGGCCACATGAAGCAACGAGAGAAGCTTGCGGCGGTGCTGGCGGGGCAAGCGAACAGGCTGGGTGGTCGCATCAATCGTGTCCATGTCCAAGTCCACCAGCACATAGTCATCGTCCGGCAACTCAATCTTCTCGTAGCGTCTCTCGATGCCGACAATGTAGGGGCAGGGCGCGTCTAGCGCGGAGAGAAGACGCGCAGGAAGCACGGGAATAAAGATGCTCGCCCACTTAAGGGGATACAACAGATTCGCCAATGCATGGCACGCCAGGTGAAGCATGCCAGTGTGGGAAGAGATGAAGATGATGCGAGATTCGGACATGGCGTATTCGAAGAGGGCAACAATATTCTCCATCGAAAGACATCGAAACAGGGCATAGATGTCGATGGTTCTTGCCCCAGGAATCTCGTTCGTAGCTTCCTTGCGACAGTACATTCGCAATTCGCGCACGCCGAGCTCAACCTGTGTCTTAGAGCTCAAAGGGCTGAACGCCTCAGTGCACAGGTTGACGACGTAGCGCTCCAGCGGTTGCCAACGGCCAACCTTGGGAGAGCTTGGCGGGACTCGCAGGATTGCTCCATCAGTCATAGGCACCACAATGGCGCGCAACCACTCCTTCCAGAACGACATTCTTGTGACATCTCTGCCCAAGATGCCGTAGGCTCTGGGGGCCCAGAGACCGCTCTCGCCAGCAGTCAACCCGTCAATCTTGGATGCAGCACCGTGACGCAATGGTCTCAACATTTCTGTCATGAGACTGATCTTCTCCTCCACAGCACTGATTTGGTCATCCAGAGTATCACGGGCTGACGATCCGGAAGGAATCGTCGGCAGCTTCGCGAGCAGCTGTGACAAATGCGCACGTTCAGCCGCGAGCCGCACACCAAGACTGGCTGCCAACTCCCGCTCCTCGTTGGACATGTGACTCTGGCGCCACTGCTCGCATCGCTTCTCCACCTCGTCTGCAACCTCAGATGTTATCGCAGTCCAGATAATGATGGTGATACCATAAATCTTGGAGTTGTCGTCCGATGTCATCGTGAAACCGTGCCAGGTGGAACGGGGTCGGTCGTCTGAAGACACGATCTGGATGTCGTTGGGGAAGGCAAACATGGGGACGTAGTCAGGAAACTTTCCACGACGGCTGACCTCGTCGGTTGCATCCTTGGCAGGGTACCTGTCTAGCAACACGGGCTCGAAACGCCTCTTGAGGGGATGCATGTCTGGGTCTGTGTTGAGGGGCTCCGGGGGAGGAATGACAGAGTTGTAGTTGCTCAAGCGCTTGGAAGTCCTAATTGAAGCTGGTTCCAACGTGTTAGTAGGCCGTTGAGGACTTGAGGCTTGCGTAGTAAAGGAGGATGGACCTTGGCGGGGAATCGTACCGGCACCTGGCGTGCTCGCTCGCGGTGTGGTGGGTTGCTTGCGCATGCTGTTCATGTCCCTAAAACTCATCTTGCGGCGGATGCTTCCCTTGATGCTCCTCTCGATACTCCGGAGAGGGCTTCTTCGACCGCTCATATCACCCTCGTCGGCCTTGATACGCTCGGCTCTCGGGTTCACCATGGGTCTGGCCTGCGCCTTGGCTCCAGCACTGAAGGACAAATCCTCGAGGAAATTCTCCCGTTCGGCAGCGAACTTAAGGAGGGCCTTATCAAAGTCGAAACCCTCCATGAATGGGGGGATTTCGCCGTTGAGGCCATTCAGTCCGTTCAGGCCATTGAGGCCGTTGAAACCGGTGCCCGGAGGGCTGCTGGTGCCATTGGCAGCGACCTGGTTGAGCTGAGAGGGTCGGATCGTAGCGCTACTTCGGTTGCTCCTCGTGTTTCCGTCAACCTCGTCGAGGGTATGGATGGAGAAGCGGCCATTGGAGGCGCGGCCGCCCGAGTTCTGTCTCGAGTGGCGGGCAACGCGCTTGCTCGGAGTGGCGTTCACATCGCTATCGCTGTCCTCTTGTTCGCTGTCCTCGACGATGGTGGACTCGAGGTTGGACTGGGGCGGCTGCGGGGTAGTGTCATTGTAGGAGATGGACTCTACGCCGGCGATCCAGAAGTAGTCGGCGAGCGGCGTCGAGGAGCTGTCCATGACATGTCACTTGCTGGTGACCAGCCTTATGGCGATAGGGCGATAAGTTTGGCCGGCGAGTGTATTTTTTCCCTCGTCTCGTTACTTTGCACGGGGCTGGCCCGGGCTTTTAATCGCGAGAGGGTCTCGGGGTCCCTTGGGCGGTTGACTGGTCAGTCAAGGACTGGGGGGTAGTTGGGTAGTACTGCGGTGGGCGGACAGGACAGTGCAGGGGTGCCAGGATCCGGGAGGTTTCTAAGAAAAAGTCTCAGGCGATGACTGTAGGGAATCGGCTCGTTTAGCTATGGACGCCCGAAGGTCTCCATCCAGGACTGGAGAAGAGGGAGAGGAGACAGAAGGCGGTGAACGCACGAACCAGGGAAAAATGCGACGACCAGCGACAGCGACAGCGACAGAGCGAGCAGGCCAGCGGCGGAGCAAAAGGGGGCAAGTCGAGCAGGGAAGCCGGAGGTAATGGATCGAATCGGGATCGGGGGAGGAGGGGTGCTGAGACGGCGTGAAGGACGTTGAAGACGGCGGGCGGGCGGTTGATGGAGATTGAAGAATAGAAAAACCGTCCGGATGGTCGGAGGTCGCAACGCAAGAGCGAATTAACAACAAGAAGGAGAAGCCGCCAAAGGAGTGGAGGAGGTATGGGGGAGAGTGTTGATTGTTTGGCGGTGGTGTTTTTGTGGAAGACGAGTGTGTTGTGAGGAAGTGACAAGAGAGGTGAGGCGTCAGCCAGGTCGACAGATCAAGTTTAGGTTGGTTGGGTTTCGGTCGGTCAAAGATAACGGGCAACAGCGAGCGAGGAGGGCGAGGCTGTTTTTTTTCTCCTCTTGTGCCTGGCCCAAACTTTTTTCCCGTCCCTTTCGGTTTATTTTTTTATTTTTTTCGGCGGTGACAGAAGAACAGACGCAGAGCCTCCAAAAAAGAAAGAAACAGACTGATAGGAGATTGGCGAGTGAGGCGGACCAACAGGAAAGGCTAGAAAACGACAGAGACGCGGACGGAGGAGAGGAAAACAAAAACAGCCAGGCAGTCTTCAAGCCACGCGCAGTTCTGGATTTCTATCTTTCTTTTCAGTCCCCCCAAGGCGTCGTTTTCTCTTCTCTTAGGGTCAGGTACGGACAACGAGGAAGCGGCAGCGGCAGCGCAACGGACAATAAACGGCGAGCAACAACATGGGATGGCTTTGGACAGAATGGGAAGCTAATTTGGTGATCGGGCTCAACGCGAGAGTGAAAAGGGACAAGCACCAAGCACCAGGCGCCTTCATTCGTGGTTGCCGCTACGCGTGGAGGTCCCAGGAGGCCCTAGAGGAGGTGGCGTGTGGTTCGGAGAGGGGGGGAGGGGGGTGGTGGTGGTGTGGGAGAAGCGGGACCTGGCTCCTTTCCCTTTCACATTCACATTGCCTACCTAACCCCAAGGTACGGAGTACGGATACTGGGTGCCATTCACACCTCCCCCGGTACCTACCTTACTGTCAAGTGTCGACACTGCTCCTGATGCCCCGGACTTCGAGTTGCCAGTTGCAATACAGTGCAGTGCAGTGCAAGAAGCCAGCCTCCAGAGCCAGCCTCCAGAACTGAGGAAAGCAGTTCGACCGGCCGGGCCAAGGGGCGTCGGGGACCACAGAGCGATGTGGGAAGGTGGGAGAAAGCTGCTGCAGGCCACAGGACGAACTCTGGGCCCGATGAGACGTCGATTCGAGCTCAACTTTCAAAGAGTAAGGTGATTCAAAGTGTCGCTGGAGTCTGGCGGCGCCTTCGATGCTGTGCACCTGAGCACGACACTTGAATCCATCCCCTAAGCTACCTTGCACAACGTCTACCCCTGTTTACGATGTCCATATTGCCTAGCACATAACGATACGCCGTCCGGATACAGGTGGCCCGATGCCTTACTTACAGTGCTGTGATACCGCCAGTAGGGCTGTTTTGGCGGGACTGTCCTCGGTTTGTCCGCCGTCATTCCGGCTGGAATGCAGAGGTGCCTCATCTTCGTCATTCCATCTTCCAGCAGTGTCTCTCGAGAACCCTGAGCTAGTCTGTTCGGATAGGGGACACATGCCTCAGACGATGTTGAACCGGCCTGACGGATAACTGACGTGTTTCATAGCGACATGTTCGAGTTTCTTCTTCGAGATATGAATCTCACAAGGAGGGAAGAAGAAATGGCATATGCAGTAAGACGCCATGGCTAGATGTCTCTCGATTCCCGTTGCCGTGTCTCGCGGCGGCGACGGACCTCTGTTCAGTTCTGCCCTGTGTCTTTGGACTTGCTTCAGCTGCTGCCAGCGTACCACGGCCTCACCAGACAGACCCCGACCCCCAGGACCGGTCAGATAGTTGCTTTCCGCTGTCAGTGGCATCTGCCTGTCCATCCCATCCCACTCCATCCCCGGGGGCTTCTTCTATCAAGAGGTTCGCTTCGTGTCATTGAGTGTGCTCCGTGCCATGCCAGTCCCCGTCCGTCCGCAGCAATCTTGGCTTTCGATGCTCGTGCTCTCTGCCCATCTTTTCCCTTCTCGAAGATGGAATTGAAACTTCTCGTTCACTCACCGGATCTATCAACCAACACTTGCGTATTACCAAATTACTGGTGGTGTCCATGTGCTCTCCTGAACCGAAAGACAGACCATCTACCTCCTAACCCCGAGGCCACCGAAAAAGGCCCCTGTGGTCCCTGAATTAGTGTGCCAGGGAAGTGCCCAGTAGGCATCGACGACCCTAGAATGGACAGCGACAATCAATCAGGTCCCTGGACGGCTTCCCCTGGACCACTAACACGGTCGCGGGCATTTGCCTGTCGATCAACTGGCAACCGCCGTGAGCGAGCGCTCCACAACACCATCTTCCTTCCTCCGGCTTGCCCACTGTCGTTCACACTTCTGCCGTCCACTGTCGTCCACAGTTGTTGCTTCCATTCTGCCACTCCATGACAATGGGTGTCACCCACTGCGCAAGCCAGACCCTTTCTGTACAACTGGCCCACCATCGGGTTTTCCATATCCCCATCAGTCGAATGCCTTCCGGCGTCCAGGTTCTCCCATTTCTCACGGCGTCAAATGCAATGCTTCCCGTCTCCAAAAGACAGAGAAGCTGAGTGAGTGGGCTTCCTCCACATGCCCTCTTTCTCCTTCTCCGGCCATGTCCATCAGCGAAGGCAGCTTATCCACTCCCACTCCTCGGGGGGTCCTTCTCTCCAGCTCCAATAAGACATCGTCACTGATCACGGAATATGCCCCTCATCAAGTCTCAAGGCGCGACAAGGAAGCTGTAAATCGCTCTTCCCCTCACTTGCTTTTTTTTTTTTTTCTCACTGCCGCCCGATGCCCGCTCTACTCCTACCTACCTAGCATGAAGGCATCACATCGTCCTTGGCCAACTTCCCCTTCCTGCTGGGGACCGAGTAACACACATGCATCTGTACAGGTAATGCTGAGCTAGATCTGCCCAATGACAAGACACACATCTATCCCAAGACCCAAGCCTTCCGGGCCCTCCTCCCCAATGCGACGTGCCTGCAAAGCAACCTTACTGGACTGGACTTGGGCCGCATCCCATCCCTTCTGCAGACACACCTCTCCTCCGCCAACGCACGTGTACGACGCAGCAAGAAGCATTTCTCCCACGAGGAACGAATCCTGGCTTGCGTTTGCTCAAAGCCTACGTACACAACCTCACGCCTGCTATTATCTCTTACACACCACAACAGAAGAGGAAAAGATTTTTTTTTTTTTCTCCCTTCCTCCTCCCTAACCCACCTCCGCATCCGATGAAGCCTCCAGCCAAGCCGCCCGGCACATCGGTGACGAGTCGTTGCGGGCGACACGAAAAGATACGGTTGCTTCTGGCATGCATCCATCACAGCTGAGGTCAGAGTCAGGGAACTGCCCTTTGGACCCGAATAGCCGCGACCTGGCGCTTGGCCCATCCACTCGCTGGCTCCGACATGAAAGAATCTACGAGATGCAATTCCCTCGGAATAAACCACAGGAAAAAGACCCCTTGAGCAATATTCCTTCAGTGGGGTTGGCCCCCCACAAGCCCGCCGCCTTCCAGATTGTGATGTCGACACTTGCTTGAACAATCATCGTATCGACCCTCAGCCGCGATTCAATCCTGCCCTTCCCTGTCAGCGGCCGACCTGCCTGACGATTCATTTCGTCTTTTAGACGCCAATCTTGCCTCTCCCGCCCAAGCAAACAGATCCAAACGCTTTGCTAGGACCTGTTCATCCCGCCTCGCGAACTCAACAGAAGCCAGAGTTCTTTGCTAACCCAGTCAATCAGTTCCAAGTCGACCAGCCAACCATGCATCGACTTCAGGGGTCGTTGGGCGCATTGCTTCACACCCTTTCCTCTCGGTGGGTAAATTCGCTGCCCTCCCACGCTTCATACATAACCCATGGGGTTGGCTGCAGAAGATGAACCGCTCTACCACAATCCAATGAATACGAATGGCTCGTCGAACAGCGAGCCGGCCGGCTAGACCAGGCAGGCAAGCAAGCAAGCAAGCAACCAGCAGCTAAACTAGCCATGCAATCGAGCAAGCACCAGAGGCGGTCTGCATCCCACCGCTCGCTTCCTTGCCCGCCAGATGCACTTCGCCCCGAGGCGGCATCTATCAAAATCATCCTCCTTGCCGTACCTGCTTGTCGACCGACATGGCCCGCATGGCTCTAATGTGAGGGCCTGGCTTAGCATGCATTCGCATGTTTCAAAAGGGCCCGTCAACGGTAACCTGCCCGAGCCTCCTCGCCGTGAATGGCTCTTCACCCGCTCCGCCGGCCTCCCAGCGCTCCCAGGCATGCCGGGCAACCAGGTATTTCCTGATATTCGACAGAAAATCAGTTGAGCCCTTGCTCCCCGACACGGCTGCCAGAACGGGACACAGAGCAGAAAATCTTCCAAAATCAGCCTCTGCTAGCGCACAGAGAAAAAGATCGTCTCAGTCTTAAGACGCCTGATATCACGGCCCATGGCCGATCGTGGGCCCGAGATGTCGAACATGACGGACCAGGATCGGCGCACAGCTTCAACTGTCTGTGGGTGGTTCTTGGTGCGCACTGCTCGCCGCTCACTGGCCATTTCCGCCGCCGGGAACCCGTCGCGGAACTGGGACAGTCGTCATCAGCGCCAAAAAGCAACACCGGCAATTGCCCACGATGCCACTCAAAATCTCAAATGCTCGGTATGCCAGGTGCCCCATGTAAAATCTTTGGGGAATTTCTTCTTGGGTGAGTCGATTGCTCGACCCCAGAACCTGGAGTAATCCACGAAGCCTAAAGGGTTCATTCCCTCAGACCCGCATCACCGCCGGCGCACTTTTTCGGAGAATCTTAGTCCACTCCAGTAGTCTGTTGGGTAGGAACACAGATGCCTTGCTGCTTGGCCCCCCTGGACAGGATTCTATCCAGCAACCTTGGGACGGCTCCACGGGAAGGTCAGCCACTGCAGACTCCTATTCTGTAGCCAGCCAGAAAAGGTATGAAGAAGCCTTTGTTTCAGATCTCGCCTACATACCGACTTAAACCATGCCGCATGCCACCTTACGGGATACAGAATGGCTGGCACCTGTCGGCCTGGCCTATCTGTATTTGCCCCTGACACGCGATGGCAACTCATCATCTCGCCGGATTTGGCTACTCTGGACGTTTAACACGAGAGGCTGCTGTACCTGACATGCGGGCTGAGAATCCAGCTCGTGGCCACGAAGCCATCCGAATGCCCTCTGGCATCTATCTGACCTTGTCCTCTCAGCTCACAACACACCCAGACTCCACGTCTTGCAGGCAGTTCCGCACCGGTCTGCGTCATGTTAGCTCAAGTGGCCTGAGTCCTCCACGCTAGTCTCATAGCTGAGATCTAGCACGGTCGTCGACGGCTGACACCAAGATCGCGTACAGACCTCCGCAGAGCGGTCGTTGCTTAGATCAATTTCAGCAGGCCCATCCTAGAATGGAGAAGTCAAACCCGACGGCTTTACTGCTCATTGCTTTTTTCTCCCCTGCGAGATGGTCCAAGGGGTTTGTCCTTGGCCTTCCAACCAATTCTACCCCAATCAATCCTCAACGACGGCTCGGTCGTATCAGGGGGGACAAATTGATTTCGATGAAGCCAGGTGTCGATCCCTCTCATGCAAGGCGGCTGCAGACTACACGGGCTGCAGAACCAGATTCCCGTTTCGGACGGAGGGCACGACAGCTTCCACGCTGCAGGTCCCATTAGCCTATACATATTCTGTGCAACGTGATAACTCGTCGTCTGGGAGTCTCGTTGCTCATGCCAGTGAGGTGCTTTGGTGCAGCCGCGGCTGTGAGTTGCCTTTGCGGCCCCTATTCCCGTACGTAAAAGGACCGAAACTGGATGAAGGGCGATCCTGGAAAGCGATGAACTGGGGCTAAGGAAACGTTTGTCGGTAGTCTCAGGGCGCCGTTAGAGTTTTGAGATCTGGGATGCACTACTGGATCTAGAGCTGTCACTCTTCAGCCACTCTTGACATTTTTGGCACGTCTCAGGGATTCAGGAGGTAACGGCACGTTGGTGCAGATTCGGTGGCGCATCTGAGCGCGATGAGAAGTGCTTGTGATTCGGAGATATCATGGTATTTGGTGGCTTTTGCTCTCTGCTCGCAATGCCTTCGTCTCCCACCTTACTGCGAGAAATCCTTCTCCAACGCCATCGTGTTTGATCTTCAGGGTCTTCGTCCTGACTCCCTCCTCCTTCCCATGCGCAAAGGGATCAGCCCGACGTGCTTCTGCATACACGACGCGACGCTCGCCCCGGACGCCGACGGTTAGACAGCTGGCAACCGTGCAAATATTTCCCACTTCTCAGCAGCAACAATCTGAACAGCCGGCCCGATGAGATTTTTTCAGCTCGACAGAGCACGGGTCCCAGAAGCCGCCCTTCCACGCACAGAAACAAGCCCGCCCGGCTGCGCGGCCCAGCCAGCCCGCCTCCCGCGTACGTGACGTCCAACCTGTGCCGCTGTCTCTGGAACCGCCGCGAGCCCCCCTTGAGGCCGCCTCAACTGAAATAAAGGCTTCAATGTGATATCGCAGCCTCGCGTCACGCTACGTGCCGCGTGCCCAACTTGCCCGTCGACAGGAAGCCCCTGTTTCCCATTTCCCCTCTCCACCCGATACCCAGCACCCCGAACATGATCCTGCCGTCTTCTCCGGGCTCGGCGTGGGCCCCGTCCGCCTCGGTGACCACAAAGCACACCTGCTCCACCTCCCCGGGGTGCAGTACCGGCCGTGCCACGCCGCCGCCCTCTTCCCAGTTGCAGTCCGTGTACCCCAGCCCCTCCTCCAGGTCGATCAGCACCTTTTCCAGCTGGATGACGTCCTCGGAGCAGTTCTCCAGCTGCGCCTCGAGAACCCACTTCCGAGCACCGCCGTTCTTCCCCGACGCCAGCGGGCCGATCTTTGTGCGCACGATGAGGGAAGACTTGCAGATGAACTGGTACAGCTTCCGGAACGTGCGCGTCTTGCCCGACGTCTCCGTGGCCTCGTAGTAGCTCACCGTCACCGCGAGGACGTGGTTGCCCTCCTCCTTCAGGTCGAAGTTGACGATGCGCTGGAGCGTCTCCCCGGGCTCGAGGTCGGTGCCCTTGCCTTCCGCGGCGTCGGCCGGGTCTGCGGGCGTGAGCTCCAGCTTCTGCACCGCGCCGCCCTGCCCGGGCGTCTTCATCTCGGCCTCGATGCGCACATCGCGGATGACCTTGCGCTTCGTGCCCGGCGGCGGCTCGAGCGTGTCGTGGTTCGCGCAGAGGGTGCAGCTGAAGACCTCGCCGACGTAGGCGGAGCCGAAGCTCAGGGGCAGGTTGAGGATCGGGGAGAGGAGGAAGGGGGCGGGGTTCGTCGCGGCGGTGGTGTCGTAGGCGAGCGAGGCCGGGGCCGGGTCTGCGGGGACGTGGGAGGGCGTGAGAGGCGGGCGGATCGGGTGCTGGATTACTAGTGACGGGCGGGAGAGCCTATCTTCGCGTGTCAGATGTGTGGTTGTTTCGTCATTCGATGTGATGCGCACCTGAGAACTTTGAGGGAAACGGAGTGAGGCTCCTTCAGAGGATCGTGGGAGGGGTATCTCTGGTGGCTCATGTTGACCAGGTCGGAGGGAGTCGACTTTGGGTTGGTGATATCAGAGACAAGGACGATGCGACTTGGAAACAAGACGTGGATCGTCTGTGGAATTGGAATGACGGAGCTGTAGTGGGCCCCTGTCCCCGATGTTCCGTTATCGATAAGGACGATGCGCTCGTGGTCCCTTTCCCTTCGGCGGAGCTTCCCCGCGTTCGGTGTGGTTCGCTGTGGATTGGTGCGAGGCGCACTGTGGTCGGAGTAAACTCCATGTCTGACGTCGATAGGTGGTCGCTTATAACACGAGGACGGCATGAGAATATCAACCCCAAAAAGTTGATGAGAAAATTCCATTCTAATTTGAAATCCTGCGGCTTGGCTCATTATGCTAGTTTCATGACGTTCAACTGAAATATGCTGTCATCGGAGCTTCATGGGATTTACAAAGGAGAGAAGAGGAGGGATGATAGACCGCTCTAGTGGACTTTGCATGAGCTACTTGCACATCCCAAATAACCAGACCCCCAGGTGCTTTTTAACTTTATATGGAGTGAGTGATCAAGAATCGCGCTTCTTTCGCTTCACTCGCTCCCAGCTGATCTGGAGCTGTGTGGAGTTTCAAAGTTGCAGACGCTGCCTGTCACTTGCATTGAGGATCCAGCCCTTTTATTGAGAGTACACCACCTGAAAATCGTCTGATCTAAATGTGCCCCTCTTCCACCAAGTTTCGCACTTTTTATACGCACGAGGCTTTGATCTGATTGGTTGATGATCGCACTATTTGACTTGCTGCCAGTATGATCTATAGCAGCACAGCCGTATGAGTATAATGCGAGCAGAGGAGGAAGAAGGCGGTACAATACAGTGTCATGTTGTTTGAAGCTCATGGTAGAAGACTTGGAGCTGCTGATCGCTGCCAGGATGCCTTGATCATGGAAGGACTGTGACCAGCTCGATATGTCCAACATTGAGGAGGAAGGAGCAGTCTCCTGAGCTATCCACCACCCACTAGGTTGCGGCTGCCTTTTGGTTCAAATCCAGCTTCGTTCACGTCAACCAAGCCCGATGATAGGCCAAGTGGCCTAGAGGTATAACGCTCTGGTCCGTTAGTGAGAACTTGGTATGAAACCCGAATGCTGGTTTCGCAGGGTCGAGGTTCAAATCCGCTCCCGAGCTTTTGCTTTTTGTAATTCTTACCATTCCTGATATCGGTCGCTAAGCCATGTTCCTCCATATTCCATTGACATACAGCTGTCAATGTAGACATTGAGCACTAAGCCAAGAAAGCCTAAAACGACAGCACGCATGCCATACGAGCAAGGCAACACATCAAGCATCAAGTCTATACTACAATCGTCAACAGAGGCGTCGTCCTGTTTTACAGAGCGTGAATATTCCACACGTTCCGGAACAGAGGGAAGCACGTGTAACGTATCAGGGGCGTATCCTGTTTCGAATGCATTGGTTATTCCTATTATTTTACCTGTATGATCATGTACAATTTAACGCGCGTCCAACTACTCCAGCCCTGTACCCAGCGGTATTCCATTCAGTAGGACACTACCGGGCCCTGTCGGACGGATTTCAATCTTAAAATCGACACTTCTTACGCCATCCTTATGCCTTATTTCCTATAGACCGGGAGGAGGAGGCACCTTTGGCTCACGTCAGTTTGCAATTTCATTAACAGGTGTAATACGGACAGAACTTACTGCACCATAGCCTCCGGTTCCCGGGGGAGAGCCCGAGGGAGGAGGGGGCGGAGGAGCAGAGCTTGGCGGAGGAGGTGGGGGAGGAGCAGCCTCGCTCGGGGGCGGGGGCGGCGAGGCTCCAGGAGGCGCGGGTGAACCTTGCGCTTGCTGTTGCGCAGCGGCGTAGTATTGCTGGTACATCTGGACGTACGCGGCGTAGCCACCATAAGCAGCATAGGGGTCCTGTCCACCGTAGTATTGGGCATACTGAGCAGCGTAGTCGGCTCCAGCGGCAGGGCTGTTAGAGCCACCAGGAGCTGGGCTGGCCGACTGTCCAGCGCCGTGACTACCATGACCGCCGTGTCCTCCGTGTCCAGAGTTGTAGCCGCCGCCGCCATAGCCCTGGTAGCCGCCATGTCCGCCGTGTCCACCATCGTGGTTCCGCGAACGGTCGCCATAGCCGCCGCCGCGATCTCCATAGCCGCCGCGATCGCCGTATCCACGGGGAGGCCTGCTCTTGAACTCCTCGTACTGATCCTTGACGTTGGCGATCAAGTCTTCGCAGAGCTCCTTGGCCTTCTCGACCATTTTCGGATCAGGTCCACTGTAAGTTGGTTAGCGGAATTCTCGATAAGCGGGGGGTCGGCGGCTACTCACGCCACATGCAGATACATGTCCTCGTCGCTCTCACGGTTAGTGGCAGCCTCCAAGTATCCAGAACCGCGGCCCTTGATTTGCACACGGCACTGGGTCTCCTGCTGGATATGCTTGACATAAGCACCGCCGTGTCCAACAACCTGAGCACGCAGGTTGAATCCGGGGACCGACTCCAAGCCAATGGGGATCTTCTCCTCGGGCCATTTGCGCTGCGGAACATTAGCCAATGGAACCTAATCGTCAGGTCATACGTACACGACCATATTCATCTCTCTCGACCTGCTCTTGGTCACGACGACGAAAACGGCGCTCGTCGACCAATGCCGGGAGTTCCTGTTTCATGAGTTCCTCGATCTTGGCCACAGCTTGCTCGAGACCCGTCTTTGATGTACTCGTCACGTGAAGGTACAGGGGGGGATTCTGGACCATCGTTAGCGAATGAACTGGTAGACAGTGGTAACGGGACTGACCGCAGCCGTTGCCATGCTCTTGTCGGGATAGTAGCTTCCTCGGGTAGTTACATCTTTCAAAGTCAACTTTCGTTCCTAACGACGTAAATTGGGACGCGTTGCGTACCAGCACCAGTCTCTTCTTTAATCTAAATCAAGCAAATGGAGTCAGCAGGTGCCAAAGAGGGGTGATCTGTGTGAGCTATCGTGCTGGTAAGCAGGATGATCTCGACACAAATCAATGGATAGGAAGGGAAGCGGAATGCGCCCGAGGCGAAACCTGGGAAGGAAATATGATCAGTGGTTTTTGCACAGGAGTATTTACCATCTTCTGAGTCGACCCCTTGGTCAGGAGGTATCTGTTGCGGAGGTCGTTGACTTCGATGTCCTTGATGTAGTCTCCGTCGGCAATGTACATCTCGCCATTGATCGTGTTGGCCGGGTCCGGTGATCCATCCTCTGTTTTGATTTCGGGAGTCGCGGTCTTGATCGGGGGGACATCGACGTGTTGGATGCCTTTCTTCGCTTGGAGTTGCGCGTTGATGCGCGCAGCGGCAGCAGCTGGTGGCTGGTTAGTCTTTCATCAAGGTTCATAAAGAGAAGAGTGGTCGCGTACCGGCCGCGGCTGCGGCGTCCACGGGCGACTTTTTGGGCTCCGTCGCAGGGTCATTCGCAATCGGACTGCGATCTCTGCCAGACTCTGGGCGCTTTGCAGGAGGAGATCGGGAGCGACGATCGAATCTCGAAGCCTTGCGCGGCTCAGGTTCAGTCTGGTCGAAGCGCGAGCGCTTGGCGGAACGTCGCTCGGTGTCGTCCATTGTGATATGTCGATGCGGTAACACCGTTGTTTGCGTTGAAGGATGTAAGGATTCGTCCTGGCAACACGTGTAATCAACGCGATAGACGCCAGTCTATTGTTTGTGCAAAAGGACGACTCGGAAAAATTTTACGAGGTTTGAAGCTCTTTGGATGTGGAGCCTTGCGAGGTGGACAGGCCGACGTGTAGTGGCTTGGTCTGTGCGTTAGCCGGTCGCAACTTCATCACGGTCCCTGCCGTCCCTGGCGGCTCTTAAAGAGTTGTCACATTTAGTTCACTATCATTTTAGGTACTGGCCACGCAAATAAACGAGACATTGCTGACGAAAGAAATATTCCGTATGGAATTCTTGATGACGCCATTTTTACTGATTTAGTGACAGAACAAGCAGAGAATGTGAATGTCAGAGTAAGGTGTTCGATTGTAGCCTCTGTCGTCGTCTGCATTCACTGCCCAATACCTTATTTATTCAGTTGCCTGGCGATAATAGAAATAAGCCCAGTTAAGGGACCACTAGCAAAATATTACCCCCTGAGGCTTTGTGACCATCCTTGGCCATTGGAGTCGACATTTACTGCTCTTAAATCAGTGACAGACATGCACCAGCGCCGACTTCGGTCCGGTTGGCAATCGGCAAGTGGGACGAACGCCCGCTAAGCATCGACGCTACTCCCAGCAGAACACTAGACATCAAGATTTGATGTTCTCAATTGAGTCTTTCCTCTATGATGACCCAATCCTCTGACTACCAAGAATGGCCAACATGAGTCATGGTGCACTTCAGGAAGGAGAACTCAGCGCGAGCGGTGCACTGTTCCGCTGGCCATCAGATACGATGCTTCAGGACTTCGCAAGGCCATGTCAATGCTAGATCATGCATCTAGACGGTAAGTCTGGAGATCTAGTTGAGGCGAGAGTCATGATCCACGGAGTCCCTTTAGTGTTTGTCCGTCAACCACATGATCAGAAGAGCATCGTGCACACTCAAGCCATGGTTGCATCAAAGACTGAACACAAACCGGACACTTATTTGACGAACGGATTACTATGCAGCCTCTACCACAGGTCAGCTTCCGACACAGTGTGGGATGTAACCCCGCACCTTCCAACCGACCCCGCGATGCAGCGTTCCCACACGCTCGGTGAAAATCCCTGTCGGTAGCTGATCCGTGCTCCACGACCCCTGCGAACGGCCTGCTTCCCTGCCTCCGACTTGCCTCCGATCTATCACCCCCAAATTCTCCTCAAATTTTCCCAGTGGAACTTGACACACGGTGAGTCAGTCCGTTATCTGTCCGGCCATTGAACCCCGAGCTCACACTCAAGTTCAGGCTGAGAGCTTCGTCTTTTTTTCTGATCACGAGAGCAATTGGTTGTTCTCGCAATTGATCAGAGAAGATGGCGTCTCGTCGCCTACTTTCCACCTCACTATGGAGGGCCACCCAGGCACCTCAAGCGGTCCCGCTCGCTGCCGCCGCCCGCTGGAGCTCCTCTAGCAGCTCGACCTCGGCCATCGCATACAAGGCACTTCGACGCCGCGCCGCTCCTCTCCCCGTCAGCGACAGCCCGCCGGCATGGTCCGCCCAGGCCGCCGTCTCCAACATCCTCTACGAGACGCCCTCCCCGTCGATGGCTCCCCCGAAGCGCCATATCCTCAACTGCTTGGTCCAGAACGAGCCCGGTGTGCTGTCCCGCGTCTCCGGAATTCTGGCTGCCCGCGGCTTCAACATCGACTCGCTCGTTGTCTGTAGTACCGAGGTTGAGGATCTCTCGCGCATGACCATTGTCCTGACCGGACAAGACGGCGTTGTCGAGCAGGCCCGCCGCCAATTGGAGGATCTCGTCCCCGTCTGGGCCGTCTTGGACTACACCAGCGCTGCTCTGGTCCAGCGTGAGCTTCTGCTTGCCAAGATCAACATCCTGGGACCCGAGTACTTCGAGGAGCTGTTGGCTCACCACCGTGAGATCACGGCTGCCGACGTTGAACACCCCGAGGGCGCCATCGAGTCGCAAAGCTTGGAGGAGATCGCCAAGGACTTCCATCCTAGCAAGTTGGCTGCTTCCCAGGCTCTCCGCCACAAGCACGAGCACTTGAAGTCCATTACCTACTTCGCTCACCAGTTTGGTGGCAAGGTTCTGGACATCAGCACCAACAGCTGTATCGTAGAGATGTAAGTTGACCCCTGCTCTTGATAAGATGCCTTTACTGAGAATCCCGCAGTTCTGCTAAGCCCACGAGGATCGACTCCTTCCTGAAGCTCATCGGACCCTTCGGTATTCTTGAGTCCGCCCGCACTGGCCTGATGGCCCTGCCCCGTTCGCCGCTGTACGGCCCGAACGAGGAGACGATTCTTAAGGAGGCGGATGAGGTTGTTGACGCTAGCCAGCTTCCCCCTGGTTAAGAGACAATATTTTAGGAAATATCCGGCGTTGGTAAAACGGTACTGCCATCTTTCAATGCTACTAAGTTACTACACAATCTGTACCATTTTTGAAGAACGCCTCGCCTTTTTCTGTGACCGTGCAACGCCAAACCTGTCCCATTAGATCTTGCCCTTGTTGACAACGAAGCCCTCGAGCGCAGCTGCGTGATTATTAGTGTCGAGTTTGTACGGACGAGGGCACGATACTCACAAACTGCAGCCCACAAGCGGTTCTCCGCCTCAGGGAAGACGAGAGACCTGTCACTGTAGAAGACTTCGTCGTGCACCTCCTCAGGATGACGAGGCAGGCAGTGCATAAACTTCCAGCCTTCCTTAGCACCGCCACGCTTGGCCAGGTCGTTGGTGATCTGGTAGCCAGCAAATGCCTTGAGGCGCTTCTGTGTCTCAGCCTCCTGACCCATAGATACCCAGGTGTCGGTGACAAGGATGTCGGCGTTCTTGATGGCCTCCTCAGGAATGGTAGTCTCGCTCAGCTTGCCAGGAGAAGAAACTCCGTTGGCAGCGGAGGAAATGACAGCCTTCATGGCGTTGGGGATGCCATAGCCGGTAGGAGAGGCAACGGCGATGTCAACTCCCATCTTGACACATCCAATGGCGAGATCGAAGAGAACATTGTTGGAATCACCAATCCAGGCAACCTTCAATCCCTTTACACCAAGGTCCGCCTTGTCGGAAGTCTTGGAGGCGGGGAAGGACTCGTGGATGGTCAAAAAGTCGGCGATAATCTGCAGAGGGTGGTAGTCATCGGACAGGGCGTTGATGACTGGGACGCTGGAATCCTTGGCCAGTCCAGCGACGTCGGAGTGAGGGCCAACACGGGCAACCATGCAGGAGGTCATGGACGAAATGACTTTTGAGGTGTCATACAGAGACTCGTTGACCTATACGGGATTTAGTCTAGTGTCACTCGGGTCCAAGGACTTGTGCTTCTCACTCCAAGCTGAATGTCATCCTTGCCAAGGAACATGGGGTGGCCACCCATCATGGCCACGGCAGCTTCTGTCGATACACGGGTACGAGTGCTGCGCTTGCTGAACATCATGGCAACAGTCTCGCCCTTCAGGCCTGAAGCCAGAGCCGGGGGCACATTGCCGGACTTGACGGCGGTCTTGTTGGAAGCGGCGTTGCGGACGAGGGTAGCGAACTCAGCCGGAGTGAGATCCGCAATGGACATCAGATGACGGGGACCGGCCGATTGTGAGTAAGCCCGGCTCTGGAGGCCGTTGAAGGCTTGACGGGTGACACGGAAAGCAGATTGCCTCATGATGGGTGATTCAAATGACTCGAGCTGGCTGGGTGAGAGGAATAGAAGCTTGAGACAGCTGCGAACGGATTCGGGCTGATATGCTGAGGCCACAGATATTAAAGCAAGCTTCTGATAAGACGGACTCAGTAAGTTGCCGATCTCAGTGAGTCGCGGTGGGAGTCAATTGGTGTATTTAGAAAGAAGGTTGAGTCACTGTTGGATAGCTTCAATGAAAGACGATAGCTACACGAACCCCACAAGCCCTTCCCGCGCAGGTGCAGCAAACTCGGACCCATTCAGACAGTGCGCGGTTCTCACCGCTTCACACCGAAAATTTCGGAATCGCTCTCCAGACCCTGCAAATTCAGCGGGCTGTAGGGCAGACAACGATGCGGCTCACAGCGATGCTACAGGCGGAGACCTGACAGCGGGCAGCTCATGCAGGAGCCCAGACCGGACCGGTGAAACGGCCGCAACCGGACCTGCGCGCCAATGCCATGCGTGCTGGAAGCAGCAGCTGTCAGCAGCTCGACGGCGCATTGTGGAGAGGATTTTCAGTACAAGACACGGCTGAGGAAATGGTTGCGGTGCTGCGCAACGCTGCGCATGCGTGCCTGAGGAGGAGGGTGGGCCGTGCATATCCTGGTCAGGCACTCCAATCCAAGCTCTCAAGAAGGGAACATGATCCCCATCCCCGCCCCGGGCCATCCACACTTCGGCCGTCCCCTTCGACCTAAAGGTTCCCTGTGGCCAACTCACCCAGCTGACTAGACCTCGTCTCATTGGTTTCAGGTGACCTCTTCGGCTCTGCCCTGTCTCTTCAGCAGCACTGCCAGCCCAGCTGCGCTTCCCCAGGATGAACCAAGTTATTTGACATCATCACCCATTACGAATCCCGAATCCCTGGGCAAGATCGGAAACTCAGCTGCCCTTTCCCTCTGCATCCTGTAACCTTTTCCCTTTGTTAGTCTTTCTTGTCTCCAATACCACTGGTCTACGGCGATGACGGCCATCCTCCTACGATAATCCGCCATTTACACAACCAGAATCCCCCCCGATTCGCAATGTCCGACGAAACTGAACGAACACCGCTCCTGACGCCCAAGGGCAAAGGAAAGGCGGAAGACGACTCTTCGATGTCCGAAACGGCGCCGCTCTTGTCCGGCTCTTCTGGAACTCCTAGATACGACGGCGAACGAGACGACCCCGACAAGGCGAGTTTCTGTTGCGAAATCTGTCGAAGTCCTCAACCGCCACCATCCATTTCCGGTGCCTCGCTCGCCGGGTCGCATTCATCGCACACATCGCTCAAGGAGAAGAAGAGCTCCACGCCATGGGCCTCCATCATTTCCATCGTCGTGCTTGCGACGCTGGCCGTCTGCATCATGCTTGTGGCTTTCTTCGTTCCGGCAGCAGTGGAGGAATACGCTAAGCAGGCCGCTGTAGTCGAGCCAACGAATCTCTCCCTCGAGTCCATCACAACCAATGGCGTACGGGCTCGCGTGCAGGCCAACTTCAAGCTCGACGGGTCCAGAGTCCAGGATCCCACCTCTCGAAGGATAGGAAAGTTTACGACCTGGATTGTAAGGGCGCTTGGTACCGAACAGACCAAGGTCGGCGTCTACCTGCCAGAGTACAACGACGTTTTGCTTGGCACCGCCGTGGTACCGCCGCTTTCAATCAGCATCGTGGACGGTCAGACTACCAAGGTGGACTTTGTCGCCGAGTTGTCGCCCGGAGATGCGGAAGCGTATCGAAAAGTCGCAAACGAATGGCTGGATGGGAAGCTCGATCAGCTGAAGGTGCTCGGAAAGGCCGATATCCCACTCAAGTCCGGAATCCTCCCGCTCGGAACCCACGCGGTCAGCGAGATCTTGACGTTTGAAGGTCAATCACTCTATCGCTCCTTTGCTTCGTTGTATTTTGGAGAAAAAGTTCTGCTTTGAATTGATCACGCTTTGCTGTATTTTTGCTTAAACACACCAAACTAATACCTTGTATAGCGAAACAAATACCCTCGCTGCCGACGTACAATATCTCGAGACTCAACTTCCGAGACGTGCCAGATTCCGATGGACGATCAGCCGTTGGCGCCGACGTTGCCATCACGGCGTTCAATGAGTATCCAATCAGTCTTGATGTGCCCGAGCTAGGATTCGAGGTTCTCATCCCTAACTGCAACTCTTTTGACCCCTACATTCTTGTGGCCGACGCCACCACCGAACCCCTCACTATTAGACCGCATGCCGAGGTCACCGCCAACGTATCGGGTATCATCCGAGAGCTTCCCAAAGACCTCACGAGGGTATGTCCCAATTCGAAGTCGTCACCATTGGACAAGTTCTTGGACCAGTACATGCATGGCGAGGCTGCGACTGTCTACGTTCGTGGGCGGAAGGTTCCTGATTCTAACACCCCTGGCTGGGTCGGAGACATCTTGTCAGAGATTATGGTACCTGTGCCATTCCCCGGCCAAGGGTTCGATAACCTCATCAAGAGCTTCTCTCTTACCGATGTGAATTTTCAACTCCCTGATCCGATGGCGGACCCGGATGAGGATGACGGAAACCCCAAAGTTTCCGGCACTGTCCAGGTTCTCGCCGGTCTGCCAAAGGAGATGAATTTCGACATCAACGTGACCAACATGCGAGCGACAGCCGACGTCATGTATCAGCACAGGAAGCTCGGAGAGCTGAACCTCGAGAAGTGGCAAGCTGCCAACTCTACCAAGATCGAAGACGCTAAGAAGAAGGAGCCGCTTCTTAAGATCACCTCTCGCGTCGAGAACGCCCCTTTGAACATTACCGACGGCGACGTGTTGACAGACGTCATGCAAAAGCTCCTCTTCGGCGGAAAGGAGGTGATGCTTGACGTCAAGGCTGGTGTTGACATCAAAGTCAACACGGCCCTCGGGAATTTGGTCCTGAAGGACATCCCTGCTGAGGGCAAAATCCCAGTAAAACGTCCGTATTAGCTCTTGATGCTGTTCGTCTTATCGTGGGTTGTTTTCTTATGTCCCTGCCTGCCAGCGCGATGAGTCCTGGTTACGGTAGAGCTGACTTCTGGCAGCCTTGCCTGGCAAAGCGATCGGCAGCGTTCGTCCACAGGTTGGAGACGTCAAGATAATCGACACCTCTGAGACGTCACTGACGCTAGAGGCGTTGGTTAATATCACAAATCCCACGCCGTACTCTGCCTTTGTGCCATACGTCAACATTCACATTGTAAAGGATGGCACCATTCTTGGCAGCGCCACGGCAGAGAACCTCAACGTTGTTCGGGGTAACAACACCAACATGGTCGTCACGGCCAAGTGGGATCCCACAACCCACGGCGACGCTGGTCGCAGGATCGCCAGCGATTTAATATCTGAATATCTTTCTGGACGCAACGTCACATTTGACGTGAAGGCGCACCGGGGAACTTTGCCATCGGTCCCCATCATCGGCGAGGCCTTGTCTAAACTCAACATCACTATTGCCGCCCCCAAATTAGACCTTCCTGGAGACGGGGACGAGGAAGATGGAAAGAAGAAGGGTCACTTCATTAGAGACGCGACGTTCCACGTATTGTCGTCAACAGCGACATTCACTTTGGTATCCCCGTTGACTTACAACACTATTTACGTCGATTGGGTAAACGCGACGGCCTACTACAACCACACTGAGAAGGTCGGCCACATATTGTACGACCTGCCCTTTGCGGCACCGCC